TGTTATTTTGCAACCACATACCTTTCAAACGTGTCTGCCCTTCAAAACTCTTGGCAAAAGAACATGCTAACAAAGGAAAAAAACCTGAGATCTGCTGAAGAGGCCACAGCCGCAGGGATGGATCACCAAACGCTCTGGCTTCAGCAAATATTCAGTCCCTCTGCCGACACGCCGGACCATTGTGCCCGATGGCCGGGAGCTAACACGAGCTGTTCAGGTGTTGACACCTCCTTTTCTCTTCCAGTGATGAGGGTACTTCCGTGCAGAGAGGCTTGAGGGCACCAGCACAGGGGCTGCATGAGCAGAGGGGATGTATCTGGGCCTCATTTTGACAAAACTAGAAAAACAACCTTTATCACAAGCATCATTTTGGTGACCTTAGAGCAAAAAAAAGAGGTGGAACTGCTGGGGAGCCGTGCCCAGCTGGGGCACCTGATGTTTGCACTGGCCTTGAACTCACCTCCAAAAATGCCTCTCAGCAGTGCATTGTGCATGCCCTGCTCTCCAACATCCCCAGCCTGGGTTCAATCTCATCTGCCATGCAGACTGGATGGCACACACTTGGAAAGGGATTAAAAAAATTACAAGGCTGTTGATTCACTGTTGATTTACCACAGGAACCTTCATAATAATTCTTCCCATGTAGTTCAATGTCCACAGATTATTTTTCCTCTTGAAATCTGTCAAGCTTGGAAACAGAACTGCTTTTAGAGTGGCATGAGAAGAGCAAAATCCTGCTCAGGTCTTCGCATTGTGGGCTGCCGCGTGTGACCCCTTGGGAGCTCACGGCTGTTTCTGGGGTTTCATCCAGGGTGTTCGCATTTGCGCTGGTGATAACGCCTGCGGCAGGATCCCAAAACATCACAGTTAGAACTGCCTGTACAGCTGCTAACAAGCTAGTTAAACACCGAATAAGAAAAAGTGACAAGTATTGTTGTTACACTTACATACTCCCATGGGTATCATGAAGCCAAGCCTTCAGTTTATCAGGGAACTGAATTTAAACAGTTTTTTTCAAGGTGCCAAAAAAGGTGGCAGATAAGGATGCCAAGTTACCATAGTAACCATGAGAAAAGTGGTGATTATCAGCAATACCACATAGAAAAGACAGACTGGATTGTCTTTTCATTTTACACGTAGCCCATTGCTTAAAAAAATAAGCCCTTTTCTAAAAGAAAGAAATACCATGGAAAAGGAACTTGAATATGAAATACATTACGCAAAATTATTTTCAAGGATTCTGCAGCCTGTGCAACCTTGCCATTTGGCCCAAAGTTTAGAGGATGTGCCCCTAAATAGAATGCATTATGGCTGAAGGGTATGCGAATAATAAAGCATGACTTTTCATGTTTTCTTACCTAGCAACCATGGCAGCAGAGGGGAAAAATCAATATTGATGTCCTACTGTAAGCTCCTTAGGACAGCGCACGTTCTTTCTTTGGCATAATGAGGCTCACACGTAGACACAGCACTTGGCTACAAGTGACAGTACTGCAAGATCAGAGATTACAAAGTCCTAGCAGTTGCTTTGAGGAGTCCATGGCGGTGCTCACATGTACCAGGTTGCCTGTGACCTGCAACTCAGTGCTGCTGCAGCCCACAGAGATCTAAATGCTGAAGCTTGGTTATTTGGTTGGGCTTTGGAGGAAACCTCGGTAGATGGACCTAAGGCATAAAGAATGAGAGACATGGGCAGAATCATTCCAGTGACATAGAAACACACTGCTCTGGGCTCTGGCTAAAAAGTGTTTTAAAGGTTTCTTCTTCCTCCTCAACTATCAGAAAGCTGGTTGACTCCGTTTTTTAGGAACTGGAAATGAAGCAGAGACGTCTGTCACACCTCATGTGTGTAAGGAACAGAAAGGCCTGAGAGACCAATTGTCTTGTGATCTGCTGACTCCAGCAGCTCTACCATGCTATCTTCAATTCCTCTATTTTCAATGCTCATCTAAGAAACATTAATGAAGTCTTACTAAAATTTACTGCATTTCAAAATGTTCTCAAAAATCATAACTGATTCTGGGTCTGTAGAAATAAATCCCTGCAGACAGTTTCATTAACCTGAAACTTTATGCCCAGACACAGGTCTCTTTACCTGTTGAAAAGCACACTCTAGTGAAAACTATGTGATTCTCATGGACTAAAACATTGCATGACTGCTAGGAGCAAATCTCTGTGTTCATCACTTGCCATAGATGCTGGCTTTGACAAATTGGCTGAACAAAAAGCATGCTGCGTGCCAGCAGTGCTTTAGTTCTAGGTTCACAGGATGATGATTAAGAAAAACATTGTGAGCAAAACTTACCATCCTTGTAGCTAAGCCTTTCGTGCCGCTCAACTCACAGGTGTTGTTCACAGCATTATGGCAATCAATCCCCACAGATGTTGAAGACATAAAGCTGCTAACTAGAACACAAAGGGCAAGGATCCCAAACTGCTGATTTTGAAAAGCAGGCCTTACCTATAAAATACTACTGTGCTAATGACAGGAAAACAGAGTGCATCTGGACTTGCCTATGAACCTGCCTGGAACAACAGACTCACCCTGAACCTAGTGTCACTACCCGCCTGCCTCCTTATGCCATTAAAAGTGGGGGTAAGAGTGTGAGGTCTCCAAGGTCTCCCTTTTGGCCAAGCTTTGGACGTCCATTGGTACACTTTTATATGCGACACATTATTGATTGCCAGCTGCGAAGCCCAAACAAGCATACCTACCCAGACCGGCATTGGCAGACAACCTGGTGCACCTTTGCAGGCTTCTGACTCATAAATAGCACACACCAGTTTACAGCCAGGTTTTTTTTTTTTTGTTGTTGTTTTGTTTTTTTTTCTTCAAAGGCAGCAGTTATCTCAGTAGCATCAGTGACCCAGTCTGGATTCAGAATGGTGCCTTAGGACTTCCAACCTCTCCTGTGAGACATGGGGCTATGAAAGGAAAATTAATAATACATTTGAAATTGCCCTCACCACAGACAGACTGAGCGCGGTCCTGATCACTAAATGATGCTAAAAAGAAAGTGGTTAAATACGCACAAGCATGTACAAGCTAGCATCTGATTTTTGAAGATCAAAATTATGATTTCATTGAACTTTCAAACTGATTATGGCATTAGCAAGAACAGGTACAAATCTTTCTGGGAGAAACAGGCTATGGCAGAGTAAGTAAATTATCTCAACACAGTATCTGTCTTCCTGTGGATTTCAGTGCTACTCTTACTTGAATCAATTTGTGATGATATGTTTGTACCTGCCACAGAAGCCAAATACACAATCTGATCTTATGCCAAGCCACTATTAACAACTGCATTTTCAATTGATTCTAGGATATTCATTAACTGGGATCCATAATTACAAATAATTTACAGACATATAATTTTAAATCATTTGCCAGTGAGTTTACTAAGCTCACTTTATGACATTCAAATACATTATTCTTAAAAATTCACTGAGTAATCAGCTTGCAAATAATTACAGTGGAATATCACTGGATATAATCAAGTAGAAACTTAGAACAAGAATCACCAGAAACGTCTATAGTTCGTTTCTGCCTTGTGATTTTGACATTCCCTTCAACTGTCTCCAGAAAGCTGTTATGTACTGAACTGGTGAACTCCAAAGCTGCGCCACTAATTCAACTCCATTACAACACAACTCCTTGCCCTTCTTGTTTCACAGGCAACCCCTGCCCCACACCTTTTCTTCAATACCAGGCAGCTGATTTTTTAAATGATTTATTTACCCTTTGAGCAAGTGTCCCGTTGGTTGGGGGGGACACCGGTGGTGAGCAGCACTGGATATGTTGCAGAATCTCCCTTGCTCTGGGGCTGGAAATGCTGGGCACTGCTTGGAGCCAAGTACCAGCCATGGCAATGCAGAAACATCAGGATCAGGTTAACTGGTTTTTAGGGCAGACAAAGCTTGACATGTCTCCATGCACAGTATTTTATTAATTTCATATAATGATTTAATTTTCAAATGCTATGTGTGGTCTGGTTTATATCTATAGTCTTTCTCCATGGTCAATAGGAATATTTTATATGCCATAGAAAAAAAATTGCACAGTGATGCAAGCAGTTTAAATCTCTGAGTTGGAACTTTAGGACACTCACTGAAAATGGCACTGAAACCCAATACAGATGGGTTAAATAAATTACATTCTTTTATTGCAAGGTGTAACGGAAAAACTAATACAAATATGTAAGACCTGGACTCTGAGCACAGCTTCCCATATGAATCATATACACACCTTCTTGCCTTACATGAAACAAGGCTCCAATTTCTGAGTGTTCAAGCAATCACTCTTCTGTCCTATGTTAAATTACATCAGTAAAGTAGACAGTAGCTGGTACTCTCAGAGCCTGCCATGTTTACTTGTTGTGGCCTAGATTTATAAACTGCCCATGCACACACCTTGAAGTGCACAGCACTGTACACACCGTACCAGCCTACAGCTTTGACATCATCCCGTTACTGCAATATGCAACAGTAGAGAATTTCTTGAAGATGAAGAAAACACTGCTTTCTCTGATGACTGCAAGGAGAGAGCGAACTTATGAAACAGAGGCCTTTGAACAACACACTGTATATCTTAGAGCATAAAGAATAAGATAGCTCAGAACCAATTAAAAATATACAGTAAGCAATGAAAAAAATTAATTTTATTTGAGTAAAACCATAATTTACAGATGAACTACACAAACCCTCTTGATTCAACTTCATCTGTTTCCATATGGAACCTTTGAATATTGGAAATAAATTAGACTAACAAATAAATGTCTTAGTCACAAGGAACTTTTATGTTATGTGATTTTTCCACTGCATTACAACTTAACACAAAACCATAAAAATAAGACACTATTTACAAAATACATTCATTTGCAAAACTATTGGTTAATTGAAGTTTTAAGTTACATGATAAATTATACAGCTCAGTCACACTTTACAAACAGTTAAAAGATAAACCTACTCTGAATACAAAATGATATCCTCTCATGATCTGACTACGCCAATTCGTAGTACTTCCCAGAATTTGGATCAAAGTAACAGTTCAGACATGGATCATACAGAAGAGTCAAAACTTCATCTTCTTCAGCATTGAGGTCATCTTCACCTGTGTTAAGTGTGAAAAGTAAGGATAAATCATTCTTATTAACTTAGACAATAACATGGAAATACCTTTTTGTCAGATGTGACAATTTTTCTTTAAAGTGTATAATCTTTTGAATTCTGAATTGTTACCTTCAAGGTAACAGTAATTCACATTTTTATTATATTTCTGAAGACTTGTATTTAGCTGAGGTGAAATGACATCAGTCAGAGTTTGCTTAACTGGACTTTACGAAGTCCAATGGAGCAGTTCACCAGAAGTACTTTTACTGACAGTGGATCAAAGTATTCCTAAGTGGTATTTTTCTTAAACAATAATCTTTTAGTATGACCAAAGACAGTCAGTGTACATAAGGCCTGTAAGAATGAAAGCATTTGAATGGCTGGTATCCAGTATGTCACCTAAATGTCCAGTATAGCTATGTCTGTACAAAAGAGCTTTCAATACCAGAGAGGAAATAAGATTCTTTCAGACAATAAAAATTTTAAATCTAGGTTGTCTAAAGTTATGTAAAATGTAAGAACATTTTCAGGTAACAGAATTGAATCCTTAGCCTAAAATACACTGATGATAAAGCCATACAGACTTTTATTACAGATGCTTTACATATTGTAGCTCCTTTTCTAAACCTATCTTTCGTATAAGCTAAATGTAAGTTATATGATCTATAGCTTTTTGATAGGAAATAATTCACAGTTGAATGCAATCTGTATCTCGAATTTCATCATAAACATTCATCTCGTTCTCAGACTGCTAATACCGAATGCTTTGTATGTCCTAACACTTCATAGTAAGTAATGGCCTGTTATGCTAACAGCAGCAGTTTCACAACGCTCAGAATCTATTTACAGCCAGGACCACACAACAATATATAGGTTACATTATCTAGAGACCAGAAAGTAGATTGGTGCATTTAATGCATACAGAAGTGTGCACTTTATTGTTTGGGAAGAGATTTCATTCTTGTTTCCTCGGTAGCATTAACAAAAGCCATCAGAAAGAAACTGTCTCTTACTGTAACCAAAGGTAAAAAGGTAAAGCTAAATTGTTGCCCTCCTTGCTGTGGGTACTTCATCAGGCCTAGTAAGCTAAATGAGGTTAACTGAGATATTTTGTTTGGATAGCTCTTGGGAAGAATTATGCAGTGCAGAAAGAAGGCGTAGAACTGAATGTCTTTTTCTACACTTCAGATCATAGTAAACAAGCAAATGGTATTCATGCCTCATTCCCTCACATAGCCTTACATTTTCACCTGAAACCATGCTGTTATTTCCATTTAATTCTTCCTTTTATCATTTTGCCTGCCTATACTTTTCTTCAAAATTATTCTCTTTTCTTCTCTAAGCTTAAATCCCCTTCCCTCTCTACCTAGGAACTGGCCTCTCAATACACTTCCTGGTTTGATTTAGGAGTAAAAAATTCTTCAGACTCATCAGGGGCGTACCTCTTTCCC